ACTCAGCAGTAGCCACTGTGTTTCAGCACACAACCGGAAATACGAATCACACATAACGAAGTTAGAAATGAACCATTCCACGAAAACCCACTACCCAACTGGATCCACATCGAAAAATGTATGATTAAAACCCTAATTGAGATTAATATATATATATATATATACGAGGAAGTAAAATGAAATAATCATTAACCCTAAATCAACCCCAACCCATATTTAATCACACTGAACAGGGGAAAAATACCGAACACGGCGAAGCCGCCATCAATTCCAGACAGAAATAACAGTCACGCCGTGACCGGAAGAGCAACGGAAATTCTGGGAAATTTTTTCCCCCTTTTGAGGTTCGAATATCGCCGATCGATAAAACCCCGCGTCTGCAACTATTTTCCGGTCAAGCTCGGGTTTTGCAGTAATGCACGGAACAGAATAGGCCAGGAACTGAACAAGGAAGTCCGAGCTGCTTGAGAAGCTTGTCAATGGAGGGAAATCTGTGTTGGGGGGAAATGGGGTTCAAGCCTGATCACTGATGAGAGATATCGATCGGGAATCTAGAGTGTATGTATTAAACAAAACTTTCAAGGGTTCTTCAATTGGCTTTCATGGGGAGAATTGAAACGTGGCGGCAGCCTAGTGGCTGCTATAGTATTGGGCCACTTTTTCCTTCTATTTTGGTGTAATTTTCAAGGTTTTATGTGTAATTAATTGGAAATTGAGATTTTATATTGTATCTTAAAGAAATATACAAAGGACATGTTTAACCATTTGAGAACATATCAACACACATACATTTTTTTTTTTTTCTAAATATGAATGAATGTTATAATAATTATATTTCTATTTAAAATGTATGGCACACCAATTAATAAATTTTTTATAATGGATATGGTTATCAAATCAATCAAACTATAAATTTAATGGTTTTTGTCGGCCAGTGTTTGAATCGGTTGAATTGATGTTCGATTTATTAATAATTTAAAAATGTATATATCTATGATACGTAAGTAATAAATATTATATAATAAAAATGTTATTTAAATAGTTATATAGTTTAGAACATTAAAATTATTAATAAATTGTTAAATTGTATATAAGTATTAATTACATTTAAATGCATACGTTTTTTAAAAATAAAAAAGAACAAAATTTTAAACTAAAATACACAGACAAATTGCACCGAAATGAATGGCTCGGTTCAATATTAATTTTGTCTATTTTTTAATACATATTTAATTTGGTGCAATAAACGCATTGAGACGAACAAATGTAAAAACCAAACTTATGAAAAAATAATAACTAAACAGTTAAAAGTAATGA